TCGGCAGTCGCCTGGCCGTCCGAGGCCATCCCGTCCCAAGTAGCTGCCTCTGCTCGGTTAGAGTCCTCTGAGCGCTGACCCCCTGTCTCTTCGGGTTGGGGTCGCCCTGTTGCTGGTTGCTGGGATGACACCTTCTCGGCAGTCGCCTGGCCGTCCGAGGCCATCCCGTCCCAAGTAGCTGCCTCTGCTCGGTTAGAGTCCTCTGAGCGCTGACCTCCTGTCTCTTCGGGTTGGGGTCCGAAACGCCGCAGCGCTTCTTCATAACCATCTTCGCCTTGGCGTAAGCCGTCACCTCTCGGGTCTGCTGCTCTTCGCACATCATCAAAGTCGTACGGTGTCACGTCCTGATCCGCTTTCGCAGAGGCCGCTTGCTGAACGGCACCAGCCAGGGGCAATAAGAATTTATCCGGAAAGCCAAGACTACGATTGTTGGTTCGAAATTGCTCAAAGCGCTGTTCCAGATTCTTGAGGTCTTCTGGCCTCTCCCCGAACCGCCTTACCTTCCACACGTCGTTCACCGCAAGCATGTAGTTTGATCTAAATGAGGGTATGTTCAGCTTGACCTCTTTCCCGATGTTTCCGTCCGCTTCAAGCTTCTGCAGCCGTCCGTTTAAAGCTTGCTCGAGTCTTTCAGCGCAATCATCGTCTTTCGGATCGTTCAGTACGTCTTTCAGAGCCTTGGTAACCTCTTCGCTATTACAAACCTCAGCCACGTGTACAGAGGACTCCACCCCTTCCATCTCGGATCCAGGTAATTCCGAGGCGCCCTCTGGCGGAGGGCCAGTACGCCTTTCGTATTCGTCTGGACCTTTCCACGAGAACCACGTGTTGGATGGTGTCGCGCTGGGATCGTCCGCTATGCGCATGACCTCTTCAATCATAGGCTGAGGAACTGGGTGGTGAAAGCCGTTCATGGTGAGCGTTTCCATCTCCTTTCTTAGCCCTAGAGCGCGTTAGTGATTGCTAGTCATGATCTGATGCACTTACGGTCTGTTGCCATCTTCTTCTCATCCTCTGTATCTATTTCGCGGAACCATACAGCAAATTGTTTGAGTTTTAGGGTTATAGGGTAGAGTGTTCGATCCGAGGGAGCGTAAGCGAGGCCTACGGCATCATCATCCTCTCTGTCATCTGTGTAATGCTTGAGGACTGCCTCCTTGTCGACCCCAAGGAACCTTGTGTTCGTGCCGCGTACTGCATTTCCAAGAGTAGTAGAGCCGTTCACTACCGACCGACTATCCAGATTACTCGATACTACACTGTCGAGGCTTGCTGGAACGCTTGCGTGCGTAGTCATGTTGCAATTGTCTTACGGCGCAGTTGTATAGCTGAGTACGATGGAAGGTGGTAATCATAGAGGTTTTCCAGTGCATCCGATCTTCTTATAACATTTCGTATAATTAATGACACGGTCTTAAAACTCTGTAGTACAAGGCTCTGCAACGACAGAACGACAGAAGTCGGGACCCCGGGGGCGGGACCCCGGGGGCGGGACCACGAGGCCTTTAGCGGTCGTCGCCCCGATGGCCTTGGTCTGCCCATTTGGCCACACAACGCCCCCTCCTTACCTACCGTCATTGTGGCTATGTTGGTTTCCCCTCCTTACTAAGGGCCCCTACGAGAAAGTACCGAAGCCGATGCAGGACATGTTTTAGGGGAAGACAGGAATGGCTAGAGCAACGTATCGAAGTTCCACCTTTTCATAAGCGACGCCTACGCTTAGCACCAGGAAGATATAACGAGGGCTACGTGTAGGGCGTTAAGAGTCGATGTATTGATGGCCTATATAGTAATGATTATCCAATATCGTTCGATGCACGCTAGTACACGTGACATCATCCTCATAAATAGACGGTGCTGTGGATTACATCCAATACTCATGAAGTACATTGAGCAAGCATGTTGGCAATCAACCTGGTCAAGCCGGTGAATCAGGGTCAAACCTACATGCCACATCGTTGAGCGTTCTTCATCCTATGTGACGCAGAGGCTCACCCCGAGTACGACGTGAGATGACGGGGACGTAGACGAAGACGGAGGAGCTCGTTCTCGAGAGGGTTTGGGAAGGAAGGTGATGGCTTCCACCAGCGAACTGCGGTTCTGCGTACGGATAGTGTTGGGTTCATTCAGATAGCGAGGACGTTTCCTTGACGACAAGCATATGCGTTTTAGTAGCAGGGCAACTTTGACTCTATCTTCCCCTCGGAAGGTCCTCGTGGCGCAAGAAACGCCGGACGGGCTGCCGCGTGCTCTACAAGTTGTCACGCCGGAACAACGCAGCCCGGCGATCGGAGCGGGAGATCTGCAGTAGCAGTTCGAAGGATAAGAACGAAGGGATACGTCTAGATACAAGCTCATCTAAGCTCGCGGAAGACCAAAGAGTTCACAAAGTCACACCCCGCTCGTGATGTCGATGGACGGGCCAACACTTCACACTACCAATGCACGGCACAGCCGTTGTTCAGGACAGTGTGAGGTGCAGGTCAGAACATCTTTCGACCAGCAAACTCGGTCCGGATCCAGCGTACCCCCTCATTAGTGACTCTCGCTCCTGTCGTACCAGAGGATACACCCATCGGACATCATGGTCGCTCTGATTGCATTGATCTATCGAGGATCGCTCCTACAGATACAGCACTGACGTGAAAGAGGACTCAGGACCCCAAGCATGGGCCTGCGATCGACTTCTCGGGTGGAGGATCCCCATCGCGGGGACAGAGCGTCACAGTAATATTGGCATCCGACGGGCAACTCTGCATACCGTGCGCGTCATCGGTAGGATATCGGTAAGCGACCTGCTGGGGACTGCACCCACGTCCCTCCGCGCTGATTCTGTAGTACGATCCCCATGGGCTGCCGTTCACCTCGCTCAAGTCGTACCATATGACTGAAGAGTTATCCGTCGGGTGCCATGTATACTCGTATTGGAGGATGTTATGGGGTGTGATCAGTGGTTCTTTTGACAGCTTGATCGACCACCCTCCACGATTCGTCAACGGGGTGAACGACTGGCTGTACGAGCTGTTGGGCCCAAGCTCCCGGTATATGACGTGGTGTACAGTATCGTTGGATGGCACATTATGTAGGTAGACGACATGGCTGCAGCTGTTCACAACGACCGCCCTTCCGGGGGCAAGCGAAGTTGTGTTGAGAAACTGTCCTGCGGAAAGGTCCAGCAGCGTAATAGCTGCAAGAAACATACTCTGCCCCGGAGCCATGCTGGCTTTCGAATGCTTCGGGCGGACGTAGTTGTCGTAGGAACGATGGACGAACCGGGCATATATGGGCACGATCTGCCCGGGGGAGGCTTGGCTAGGGGGGCACGTTACGTGATGCAGCCGCCCATGGCGCAATGCGATCTTGCCGAGGATCGACGGGGACAGTTATCCCACGACGCCGCGCTCAGAGGGACATCATATGCATCGTGTACGTGACGGACGCCATGGCTGGATCGTGAGACACCCAGCGGTACTGACAACACCATTGGATGCGTGCGCTGTGGCTGGCGGTCGTGTGCGACTGATGGCCGCTCGATACCATTTCGCCTGAGGATCTGCACTGCGTGGTAATCACACGGGCGCGA